GATAGTGATTAATATGCATTGAGCACACAAACTGACATGTTGAACTTAAATTGCTTTGCACAACTATTTCAGGATAGAAAAATAACAGTAAATATTAAAATGGAGATACCTTATTCACTTATTGTAAAGACTCATTTCCTAATCTTGCATTTTGCAAGTCTTTACTAGCTATCAAGTAATTGCTCTCCAAAGTAAAGGACTTGCATATAATTGTATCTGACTTACTCCTATCTGGACATTTCAGATTTCTAACTGCTATAGTCTAATAAACAGTGATGGTTATATTGAGTTTCCCTATATTACAAGTCTTCCTAATGAAAAATTTCACATTAGTGTCATGACATGAATAACATTCTGCCAAATAAGGAGTAATGAGTTGTACAAGAAGTTATGTCGAACAACGAACTTTACAACTTTTGGCGGGGGGGGGGGGGGGGGGGGGGAGGGAGAAGGGATGGGAAAGGGAAACAAAAGCAGGCAAAGGCCCAAAGAAACATAGGTGCCATGGTTTCCCTTACGTGCATTGACGAGTATAGGCCTGAGACAAGCAGAAATGGTCAGCTAAGTTGATGTTCAGCGAAATGAACCCCAAGTTAAGGACTCAAATGATTTTTCTTTCTTGCTATTGTTTCTAACATAGTTATAAGATGATTTCTTTGTTGCTTTCTATGTCCCTCCCCCACGGTATAACCCCTGCTTTCACTGTATTTGATGTTGGTATAATTTGTGGAGGGGAAGGGAAAAAACAAATTATTTAAATAGGGATGCAGGTGGACCCATTGCAACAATGAGATGTACAAGATGTTATGTAGAAAAACGAACTTTACAACTGTGGCGGAAGAGGGTGGGGGGAGATGGGAGGGCAGGGATGGTAAGGGGAAATAAAGGAGGAGGCAACAATGCTTGATAAGAAATGTTCTTGCCGAGCGCTGGTGGCACAGCCTGTAATCCTAGCTACTCAGGAGGCTGAGATCTGAGGATAACGGTTCAAAGCCAGCCCGCGCAGAAAAGTCCATGAGACTCATCTCCAATTAACCTCTAGAAAACCGGAAGTGGTGCTGTGGGTCAAGTGGTAGAGCGCTCACCTTGATCTGAAGAGTGCAGGGATAGTGCCCAAGCTCGGAGTTCAAGCCCCACGACCGAAAAAAAAAAAAGTTCTCATTACTTTGCTCATGTATTTGTAACCCCTCTGTACGGTATTTTCTCAACAACAACAACAACAAAAACCCTTATTGATAAAAGAAATCAATTTCCTGCTCCTCCTCATATACTAGTATTCATTTATTCATTTGTCAGTTTGCAATTTAACTTTGTCAAGGTGATCAATAATTAGCTGTGGAAACGCCATACATAGTAGAGATGAAATAGTTTTAGATATGAGTTCTGCTTGCTTTTCAAACACTTAAAGGATTTCTTCCATTATTTTAACCCTTAGGTCTATAATTTTAAAAATGTGGGGATTACAATAATCATGGTATACAATTATTGTAACAATAACCATGTTATAATAATCGTGTGATAACATGCCATATCACCTTTTGATAATTATTTAAAATAATAGAGTAGACATCATCTACCCAGGGGTATCGGGGAAGTTCAGTGATGATGATTGGCTAGGCTAATTTGTTCTCAATTCAGATCTGAATTTATCTTTAGATCAGCAAACTCAACTGAGAAGAAAGAAGACAGGCTCTACTGACTTGGACATGGGAGATCAATTAGGGTAAATTGAAAATTCCAAAACCTTTATAAGTACATACTTATAAATAGAGGAATCTGTTGTCTATCTTTTATAGATGGAAAAACCAGAGAATATGAAATATGAAATACATTTCCTGCTTGTATTTGTACACAGGAATGGTAAAGAAGATATTTTATCTACTCCATTCATTTGCAGGCAATTCTAGAAGGTTGGTGAACTTTTTGTTTGTTTTCTCATTTCTGCTTTCAACATGAAGATAATGACTAGTAGTGGAAGCAATGAGCAATTTATATCACAACATATATTTTGAATCTCTAGGAATGTTGGTAAGAAATTTCTAATGTTAGAGCTCAGTTTTATTGCACTTTGTGTTAATAAATAACATAAGCCTTTTATCCCCTCTCAGAAGATGTGGTCACAGCCCCATGCTGGACCTTGAAAAGAGTTCTATGGATCATTGTCTGGGAATGGCGCCCTTATAAAGCAGCTACCTCAAAGGATGAACTGGCTAACTTTGAACCAGATGAGACCAAGTAAAATTACAGAGCTAAGCTGGTCTATCCATTTGGAGGTAGGGTTTTCGGGTTATGAGAGTTCCCATCCTTGATAAATAAAGGAATTGGAATTCCATAACAATTAGAAAATAAGTGAAAATAAGTTAGTGGGAACCTACTAGAATTCCACAACAGGCTGATGCTGAAGGCTTTGAACTTCACTGAGATACTAAGCATCTTACCATCTAACACTTGTCAATAATTAAGGTACAGAATAACAATGCAGACAAAATTTCTCTAGGACCTGCTGAATGCTGATTGCAGACAGAGCCACAGCTAAGTTCTGTATTTTCAGCTGTCCTTCGGCATTACAGATTTTATAACATGTGACTTCAATAAATAATGTGCTAAAGGCTTTGTAAAATTCATAAATGATGCTCATTTTAAATTTTGCATTACTTTTTAATTTTGTAAAAATTTTCCACTTTCTATACAAGATATTGCCAATTAAGGCCTTTTGTTAAAATTGTCAGTACATTTTACTAGTAAGTCTCATTAGAAATTCATCAGATAAAGCTAATATTTGTAAACTTAATCTGGTGTATTAACTCAGACTATCCCCAGTAAACAAAGCAGTGGTCATGGATAGACATAGACTCTCAGCTCTGACTACAGTTTTTCAAATCTATTAGTTTCCTTTTTCTAGGTGTATACAAACCTAAAGTTTTCTAATTTCCTCTATTAGCTCTGAACTCAAGAAACTTCTACTTAGGAAAGAAGATAGGTGTCAGCCACCAAACACCTTTATAGTTCTCTGGATTCTAGTCCAAGTGGTAGTTAATCTAAATGCAGACCAGTGCTCCTTCAACAAGATTCAGCAATGGAAGATGTAAACACAGAAAACTCTTTATGTATAAAGGATTTGCTATTGGAAACTTACCAATTTCAGGACTACTGTGATCTTCTTCCTGATGATATTTGAATGAAATGAATGATGTAAAGACAGACAGTACATTTTTTTGTTTAGTTGTGAAATATTCTCATCCATATAATCATATGGACAAAGAATTTCATTTAATTCTATTCTTTTCAATTCCACTAAGATAGGCTGAGGGCCAATTTCACAGAACACAGCACTTGAGGGGGTAGAAAATTAAGTGAGTCCCAGTTACTCCCCTGTTCCTATCCCATGTCCTGGTATGCCTCAGCCAAGGTAGCTATCAAGGATGTTCGACCGATTTAAAATCCAAGTATAGCCTCATCTGGACTAATTTCCTCCTCACTGGCATACACCTTGTGCTTCAAAACATACCCTTTAATTAAAAGCAACCTCATATCAAGTTTTCCTTCCTGATGTCTCATCTCCCTAAACATCAAACTCTAGTGTACTTTTCTTTCTACCCAAATGTCCCTGTGCTCTGTCCCTCGTACATTCTTGTCATGGTTGCTTTTGTAGTTGTTGCCCTCATAAATTTTTTCCTCCTTAGGAGTAAAATATTCTTTACCTTCTGCAATTCAACTTCTATATAGTAGGTATAGGGTTGTTATAATCCCACTGGTATCTTATCCTGTAACCCCAACTCAGTATCCTATAAAAGGTAGTCATTCACTGTGTGTTTATTATGAAGTTTATGTATCCTTCTATTTGTTTCACATACTACAATTGACTAAAGACAATCAGGTCTTATGTATTTTACTGATTAATTCGTGCCACTCCATAGCAGGATTTTCTATAGCAAAGAAAGGAAATATATTTTCAAATTATGATTTTATCCTATCTCTGGATTGTTTGATATTTACGTTTTTGGTCATATGTTGTCATAAGTTTTTTTTTAATCTCGAATAAGTTGTAAGAAATGGAGGATGCCTCTGCTCCCACCTTTGCTCCATGTTATTTTGCCCCTTGTTTCTCCCATCCATGCCTTTCACACGATCAGCATTTATTGATTAAACAGCTGTAATAATGCACTCATATCTGATGAAGTCATGCCTGAATTCAGACTTACAACGTTTATATAAAGTTTCAGATGATTTCCCTTTATCTTTCAATTATAACACTAGTTGCATTACAGATATATGTAAAATAGAAGTATAGAAGTAAAAAAATTATGGGATCTATGAAAGTTTTGCACGATGAATTTCCTTGCATCAAGAAAAGAAAAATGTATTGGAAATGGTTTCCAACCAATTTGAGCTCTATTAGGCACAGAAAATGTAAAGAAAGTTAAACAAAAGAGCATACTCAAGTTTTGAAAAATAGGCAAGTAGTTATAGGGCACACGATATCTCTAATATTCATTGATTTTGTGTGACATTCAGACATTCAAGAATGATCAAAATTGCTTTAAAATAATGGAGATGGAGAGTATAGCTTATCTTTTGGAATAGTAAAAATGGGGATTGTGGACCAGAAAATAAAGGTGGGGAAGGAGTAAGTTAAGAGGACAGTGAGAATTCATTGCATGTTTGATGTGTTACGTTGTAACATTTTGAAATGTGAGAATCTTTGGTGGTCTGAGGAAACAAGATTTGCCATTAGTTCTGAGTAAGGGGGTTGGTCAGGAGGATGGGATAGGGTTCTTAGCTTCCTGAACCTCACATGCTTCACCAGTACAGGAAGCTGGAAAAAGAAAGCGAAGTTTTAATGTGAAATCAATTCAAACCAAAGCAACATGTAGACAGAGAAATATTCTTTCTACTAAATATTTTAACAGGTCTCTTCCTTTGATTCCTCTGCTCAGTTTATGCATATTTGTGGTGACTGTTTTCATCTTTCTTTCAGGGAATATAAGAAAAACATTTCAATGGAGAAATGGAATCACACTTCAAGTGACTTCATTCTGTTGGGGTTGTTGCCTCCAAACCAAATAGGGCTCCTTCTCTTGTTCCTCATCATCCTTCTGTTCTCTTTTACTTTGTTTGGTAACTCAGGAATGATTTACCTCATATGTATGGATCCCCGGCTCCACACCCCCATGTACTTTCTCCTCAGCCAACTTTCTCTCATGGACTTAATGTCTATCACAACCATTGTCCCCAAGATGGCATTCAACTTCCTCTCTGGCCAAAAGAGCATCTCCTTCCTTGGATGTGGGGTGCAAAGCTTCCTCTTTGTGACTATGGCAAGTGCTGAAGGCTTACTACTATCCTCGATGGCCTATGATCGCCTGGTGGCCATCTGCCACCCCCTCCACTATCCCATCCGCATGAGTAAAAGGATGTGTGGGAAGATGATCATGGGATCATGGATACTGGGCTCTCTCCACTCCTTGGCACACACAGCATATGCCCTTCATCTTCCTTACTGCAGATCTAGGGCCATCAACCATTTCCTCTGTGACATTCCAGCAATGGTACCTCTGGCCTGTGTTGATACTTGGGTGTATGAGTACATGATTTTTGTGAGTACTTGCCTGTTCCTCCTCTTTCCTTTCCTTGGTATCACTGCTTCCTATGGACATGTGCTTTATACAGTCTTTCATATGCGCTCACAAGAGGGAAGGAAAAAGGCCTACACCACATGTTCGACACATTTAACTGTGGTAACATTTTACTATGCCCCTTTTTTCTTCACTTATTTTCAACCTTCTCATCTTCGCTCTGCTACTGGGGATAAGATTCTGGCTGTGTTCTACACCATTCTCACCCCTATGCTCAACCCCATCATCTACAGCCTGAGGAATAAAGAAGTACTGAGGGCTATCTCAAGAGTTTTTGGCATGTATAGTAATCAAAACAGCTTGGTATTGGCATAAGAACAGACCTCAGGACCAATGGAATAGAATTGAAAACCCAGAAATGAACCTACAGACCTATAGCCATCTAATCTTCGATAAGGGAGCTAAAACAATAGAATGGAAGACAGACAGCCTCTTCAGTAAATGGTGCTGGCAAAACTGGTTAACTACATGTAGAAAACTTAAGCTAGATCCTTATATATCACCCTGCACCAGAATCAACTCCAAATGGATCAAAGACCTTGAACTCAAAGCAGACACTCTGAAAACATTACAGGATGGAATAGGAGAAACCCTGGGTCTCCTTGGCTCAGGCCGAAATTTTCTGAATAGAGACCCGGAAACACAACAAATCAAAGAAAGGTTGGACAAATGGGATTGTATAAGGTTGCAGAGCTTCTGCAGGGCAAATGACATAGCTAGCAAGATCAATAGAAAGCCCACGGACTGGGAGAAGATCTTTACTAGCCATACAATGGACAAGGGTCTCATATCTAAAATATACTTGGAACTCAAAAAATTAAGCCACCCAACAACAAATCCTCAAAGAAGCAACTGCCCAATAAGTAAGTGGGCGAAAGACTTAAAGAGAAGCTTCTCTGAAGAAGAAAGAAGGATGGCCAATAGACACATGAAGAAATGTTCAACATCCCTAGCCATAAAAGAAATGCAAATCAAAACAACATTGAGATATCACCTCACTCCAGTTAGAACAGCAAAAATCAAGAACTCTAACAACAGATGCTGGAGGGGATGTGGACAGAAAGGAACCTTACTTCATTGTTGGTGGGAACGTAAACTTGTTCAACCACTTTGGAAAGCAGTATGGAGGTTCCTCAAAAGACTTCACATAGAACTCCCCTATGACCCAGCAATCCCACTTTTGGGCATTTACCCTAATGTTTACAAAAAAGACCACACTAAAGCTACCAGCACAACTATGTTTATTGCAGCATTATTTACCATAGCTAAGATATGGAACCAACCCAGATGCCCCTCAGTAGATGAATGGATCAAGAAAATGTATATATACACAATGGAATTCTATGCCTCCATCAGAAAGAATGACATTGCCCCATTTGTTAGGAAATGGAAAGGCTTGGAAAAAATTATATTAAGTGAAGTAAGCCAGGCCCAAAGAAACATAGATCCCATGGTTTCCCTTATTTGCAATATCTAGTATAGGTATGAGTCAAGCGGAAAAAGTCAGAGAATGTGATGTTAGGAAAACGAACCCTCAAATATGTATTTTAATGTTTTTGTTTCTTTCATGCATGTGTTTCTACCGCATTTATAAGATTATTTTTTGGTTGCTTTGTATGTCCCTCCCCCACAGTGTAACCCCTGCTTTCACTATATTTGATGTCAGTATAACATGTGGAGGAGGTGGGGACAAACAAGTCGTTTAAGGATTCAGGTGGACCTGTTGCAACAATGAGAAGTACAAAATGTCATGTCAAAACCAGCTTTACAATGTCGGAGGGGGGGGAGAGGGGGTATGATTGGGTGGGGAGGAGGGGGGAGGCTGGGAAGGGAGGTGAAGGGTAAACAAAGGAGTAGGCTGCAATGCATGGTAAGAAATGTATGCATTATCCTGCCCATGTAATTGTAACCCCTCTGTACAGTATGTTCTCAAATAAAATAAAATAAAATTTAAAAAAAAAAAAGAGTTTTTGGCATGTTCACTTCTATCGGAAAATAATAGTTCAATCTCTCATACTTGTTTTCTTCTTTTCTTTTTATTTGGAAAGACTCAGGATTTGCAGTCTTTGCCTTACACTGACTATAATAAAACAACACAGTGGAGTTATAACTACAGTCATGCTTGTCACTCTCTAACTTTATTGTTTGGCTTCCTGTGTAGCAATGTACCTGAGCCATGAGATGACTATTATAGACATTCTACTGTTATTGTCTCTTGAATCTCAGGCAAGCTCTACCATATCAGAGTTCCATGCATTCACAGTGTGTTAAAGGACCTTTCTGCTGGGGCTAATCTGAATTTATGAACCACTTTTATCAGCCTCTCATGTAACTTGGGATCAAAATTGCACACCACTATGCTAAACTGGCTTGAGAAGTGGTCTTAGAAAATTTCTTTCCACTTAAGTAGGTAGGATGAGCCACAGGCCCATACATGTGAGCCACCTGTACTATTACTGTTTCTCTATTACCCATGGTGTTTTGACAAAAGCATTTTATAACAGTGGTAGTGGAAATGTACTGGGGGGCACATATGTATCTTTAAATTTTTCTACTAACATATTTTTAATATTTTATTGTTATTGTAAATGAGGGGTACTGGGATGTTAGTGTTACACATAATGTATACATTTCCTATTGAGCAGTGTCAGCTCTTCTATAGCTTTCTGCCGTTTTCTCCCTCCACCCTTCCCTTCCTCCACAAGTTGTATACTTCATTTTCCACATAGTGTCTAGTGAATATCACTGTCACATTTGTTCATCCTTTGTTCCACCATTTGTATGCTCCCTGTGACTCTCACAAAACTGATAAACTTATATATGAGACAAAGGTGAAGAAATTAAAAATAGTGACAAATCAGAAAAAAAGCAACATAACAACAAAAATACAACAACTTCATTTCTTAGAGTTCATTTTGTTACAATCATTTTATATGATCATGTGCACTTAGCTATTGAGCCATTGTTGTCCTCTCCTAAAAATATCCTCTTTTGTTCTCACTTTACAAGTGTTTAGAGTTCCATATGTTTTATCATGGCTGAGTGCAAATTTTTGACTCCCACCATGCAGCTTGTTTACAAGCACATTCTATTTACAAATGAGCGAACCCATGCAACGTATGTTTCTTTGCATCTAGCTTTTCTTAATAAAATTTTTTCCAAGTCTTTCCATTTCTTTACATATGGTGCAATATCATTCTTTCTGTTCAAACACTTTGGAAAGCAGTATGGAAGTTCCTGAAAAGACCCAACATAGAGCTTCCCTATGACCCAGCAATTCCACTCCTGGGTATTTATCCAATAGACCACAACAATGTGACACTAGTTATTAGCACATCCATGTTCATTGTAGCATTGTTTACCATAGCCCAGATATGGGATCAACCCAGATGCCCTTCAGCATATGAACAGATTAAGAAAATGTGGTATATATACACAATGGAATTCTAGTAACATATATCAAATTAAAATGCTTTGTGAAATGGCATGTATTTAACATTCTGTACATAATAATGATACACATTTATTCAATTCAAATCATTATAACTAATTACTATAACATGAATTATACTTACATATTGCTTATATGTCATTATGAATACTATATTAGATATATTTGTGTACACCAAAATCTTCATTAGAAAATCACTTCAAAAAATGGCACTGACAAACACTGTATCTACATATTGAAAGCTAAAATTAGAAGTTCCAAGTCAAAAAAATTAAAAATGGTCAAATATTCTAATGGAGAACTTCGAAATTTGAAATTTATAGAAAAATATAGAAAAGTAACTTACAGTAAGACATATGGGTGCAAAATTAGAACTCAGTTTTAAAATTTTGAATTCTGGGTTAATTAATTCAAGAAAATAATCTCTTAAAGGATTGAATAGAAGCTAATAACCCTACCATATAATTGGCCTTAAAATCAAGGGTAAAGAACATATACTTTACAGTGTATTGAAATTCTGAGTTTTGTATGTTGTACCATGTAAAGTATTAAATTTCTTTTTAAATATTTTCAGTTTTGGTGTTTCTTTAGGGTCATGGGTATATTCCAAGTCAAAGATTCATCTATATTAAAAATTGAAAAAATATTTTTATAAAATATAGTAAACATATGTATGACTATAAGTCTCCAATAATATAGGTATATGTAAATAATTATGTATACATAGCTTAGAAGAAAAGAAACAAATATATATCAAGCTACATGCATGAAAATCATACTTTTCTACAGTCATAATAGAAAATACCCATCAAATTTAGAATGAACATGAATTCATTGATATAAAAGAGAATAGAAAGAAAAATTAAACTGAAAAAATAGTAATACTGTTACACAACACAAATACGTATACAAGAATAGCTATTTTTAAAAAAAGAAGTTAAGGAAATACATGCAATAAATGTGAGGAAAATTAATTTGATCTTCATGACTTCAAATTATATTCATGTGTGATTATTTATTATCATTGTAAGAGTCTGAGGCATTGTATTTTAGTGCACCCAAAAATTCTTGTTTACAATCAACTAGAGTTCTTTTGTAGAAGGTGAAGTAGATTTTTTTAAGTGTCCTTATGATTTTAGGTACAATAAATTGAAATGGTCATGAACCTTTAAAGGCATAAATGCATTGTGACAAAATCATACAATGAAATACTCTAGGTTAACAAAAATAATAGATGATGTAAATATATCTTGAGAAAATAAAACCTACAAGAATAAAGACACTGTTGAAAAAGTTTCAACATTAACCAGTGGTGTAGAAGTATGGTTTTCGATGTGTAAATTTGAAACAAGAAAATATGCTAAGATACACGGTTGTGATTACAAGTAGCCAAAAGGAGAATTTTTATTTCAAAGTGATCTTGAAAAACACTTCAGAAAATAGTGACATTATTCTGTATCTCATACTAGCATATATTATGTATCTTATGAGTTTTTCTGCCTGGACTTGCTTTGAATAGCAATTCTCCTGTCCTTAGTTTCCAAGTTAATTAGGGTTAGCCATTAATACTGCATGGTGAGCCACAAGCACACAGAACTTACTTACTGTTTCTTTGTGGCCTTTTGTGTTGGTTAGGATACCTAAGAGCAGTAATGTCTGAAGGAATGTACCTTGAGCCACATATGTAACTTAAAATGTTCTAGGAATAAAATTTAGGGTAAAGTTAAATACTATATGAAATAATATGCACTATATTTGTGTGTTATTATTTATTTCTGATGATTATCCAATATAAAATTAAACAAACCATTAATTGTATTAAAATATATAATGATAAATTCTCTAAGAATATAGACTTTTATGTAAAGATATTACTGAGGATATGACAATATTTAAAATAATGCAAAAATTCTGTTTATCAATAATACATTAAATTCTTATTACATTCCTATATTGGTATTCATTATATCATAAAAAATGTAGATGCATGTTTTCAGAGAAATTACAAGTTGGAGTAGACATATTTCAAATTTGTAAGATAAATGTCTGTACAGATGGAAAACTAAAACTATTAAAATGTCATATATTATATACTTTATGTACTTTATATGCTTTTTATACAATTTACATTTACACACTTGATATATTTTATTTATTTATATAATACTATATAAATTTTGTATTATATATTATACACTAGTATATTTTAAATGAATATGTCTTATACTTTATGTATATCTTATAGTATATATAGTGTTTATATTTAATTTTATGTTAATTACATAATCATATACATATGTTATATATGTATCACATCAACAAGTTCAACATGGATAGATGGCAAGTACAATCAAGTTAAGTAACATCAAATACTGGTTGGTTTGAGAATAAAGAGAAATACACTGTGGGATTATACATTACTATAACCCTTACATAAAGTAGAACATATCCTCAAAACTTTAAAAGCTGTATAGTAGGTTGGACGTTTCTTATACAAGGCATACTCCCAAAGGAAATGAAATCAAAATGTTGAAGAGAAAACTATTTTCCCATGTTCATTGAAGGTGGACAGTAGCAAATATAGGAAACAAGCCTCTATGTCTATCATCAGAACAATGCAGAAAGAAGACATGGGACAAATGTGCATTAGAGTGCTTCCTTGCAATGAATTCATGGCCACTTATTTTCCTATAAATCTTCCTTCTGGCCAGAAAACATACAAAATATGATTCCGTTGATAAAGTAATTTCCATCTATAATTGTGAAATCATGAAGAGTCTTTTTTTTCATGAAGAGTCTTGAAGGCAGTAATTAATGGAAATTATATAAGCTTTAAAATATAAAAGTAATAGATGCTCATCTACTAAAACAAAACAAAAAAACCAAACAGGTATCCTATCTATATGAGAAATTCTGCACTTTCAGTCTGTTTCTAGGTGCCTAACTGATTTCCTGAGTGTGTGATATTTCATTAGATACTTACTTTGGGATTAGAAATATAGATATATTGGACACTAACCACATTACTTGTGGTAAAAATTTTGATCAAAGGCCTGAAATGGTGATCCAAGTGGTAAAGTGTTAGACAAGAGTGAAAAAGCCAGGTAAGAGCTTGAGGCCCACAGTTCAAGCTCCAGTACCAACATACTACTATTACTGCTACTACCATTTACGATGAGCTAATATTCTGAGCAGACTTTTCTTGTAAGTAGACACAGCATTTCCCTTGTCATTTTGAAAAAAATGTTCAACATCATTATTTCTGTAGGAAATGCACATGAAAATGACCTTGAGATATCATCTCATCCCTCTTAGAATAGCTACCATCACAGAGACACAAAAATATACTTTGTGATCCTCTCCTAAGTATAAAATGTTCTTTGGTCTCAGTATGTGGATGCCTAGAGTTGTGTAAAAGTTAACATATCCAACTGTATTTTTTCTTTGACCATCCAGTGTTTTTATTTGTAGGTTTATAGGCACCTTCTAGTTACAAAAAAGGAGGGAAACCATGCAACCTGTGTTTCTTTGGGTCTGGATTACTTCACTTAATCTATTTCCATTTCCTTACTAATGGTACAATACCATTCTGATAGAAGTGTAGATTTCCATATGTGTGTGTGTGTGTGTGTGTGTGTGTGTGTGTGTGTGTGTGTGTGTATAACTATGGTCAACAATGTAGCCATTAACACAATTGTTCTGGTAGCTTTAGTGTGCCCTTGTTTGTGGTTTATTGGACAAAATGCCCATGAGTAGAATTGCTGGTTCATAAGGAAGTTATATGTTTAGACTTCCTTTTTTGTCAAGGTGATGTACAGAGGGTTTATAGTTACATGAGTATGGTAATAAGTACATTTCTTGTCAAACTTCTTATCCCTTCCCACATTTTTCTCCTAATTTCCCTCTCCCCCTAGACTTCACCCCAAAGTTGTACCCATCATTTCTAACATATTTTCATGTGTATATCATTGTTGCATTGGTTACCACTTGTCCTCTTTCTCACCTTTTTGTTGTTCACCTTCTCTTCCCTAATTCAAATAAAGGTATATACAGTATCAGGATACCAAAATCAAATATAGCAATACCTCGGAATATACAGTAGGGGGAAGAACATACAAAAAATGACAAAAATCACATAGTACATTAAAAACAACAACAACAAAGAAAAACCTCTGGTGGCCATGTCTTGGAGTTCATTTTGCTTGTATCATCTTATATAGTCATATGTACATAGTCTTTTGAGAAAACTCCACACAACTTTCCAGCATGGTTGATCAAGTTTACATTCCCAACCAACAATGTATTAGCATTCCCTTTGCCCAGATCTTCATCAGCATCTGTTATGGTTAGTTTTCTTGATCATGGCTATTCTAACTCAGGTGAGGAAGAATCACAATGTTGTTTTGATGTTCATTTCTTTTATGGCAAGAGAGGTGTTGAACATTTCTTAATGTGTCTATCAGCCATACTTATTTCCTCTTCAGAGAAGTCTCTCTTTAAGTCTTTTTATTAATTAAATAGTTGTTTCTTTGATCGTTTATTTGTGGTAGTTAATTTTTTGAGTTCTCAGTATATTTTAGAATGAGGTTCTTGTGTAGTTGTTCATAGCTAGTAAAAATCTGTTTTCTATACCTTTTGTCTTACATATAAGTTTATCTGTTTTAGCACATGTAAAGGGAGGGGTCCAGTAATGGTGGGACGAAGGGTGAAGAAACGCAGCAGTGATACTCACTGTACACTACACTGAAAATGAACTGTATGACTTATGTGGGGGTGGTTAGGATGGAAAAATTGGAAGAAAGTGAGGGAAGGGGTGACACTCTTCAAAAAGTAGTGTACTCATTCCCTGAGTTATTTAAATGTAGCCCCTTTTGCATCCTTTTTACAATAACAATAAAAATTAGCAAGTGCTTCTTATGCAGTATTAATAGAAATGCAAACTAAAACAGGAATCATGATAAAACAGTACTGATGTCCCACACAAAATTAAAAATGGGCCTATTAAATGGTTTGTATAACTTACTACTAGGAATATATCTGAAATGAAAATTTTATAGCAACGAGATCCATGTACCTCTACTTATATTTATGACTTTTTTCACAATAGCTAACACTTGGAATGAAAGAAGGTATCTACTTCCATATAAATTAATAAAGAGACAATGATAAATATTCATGCCAATATAGTACCTTGCCTTAAAATTTTAACTATACATTTTACAGCAACAATGATGGAATTTAAGTTAATTGTGTTAAATGAAATAACTAGAGAGTTAAAGACAGTAATTGCATGTTTATACTGTTACAAAAATTAAAAATTTTTCTAATAACTGACAAAAGTTTTAGCTATATACTGAGGACAGAATAAATGTAGATATGGAGCACCAGAACACAAATAGGAAGAAATCCCTCCTGTTATCTATGGCAAAGTATTGACTACTAGGATGTGATACACTTAAAAATAAAGAAACAAGCATACATGGTGCCAACCAATACATTTGTGGAATGTTTGAGGAAATAAAAATGATTATGTACCTATTTCATTATTTCACAAGTTAATACATAAATGGGCATATTATCATGCTACATGTGTAAGTATGATATGGTAGGAATGGTAATAATATTGATAATAGTAATGATAAAATCCATATACTCTTGTTCAGATGAAGTTCACACTTATGAACTCATACACACATTATCCAAGCCATTATCAACACAGATTGAAAGGCTCCAAACCAGCATCTAGATGGCCACAGAGAGAAAATGGCATCTGCTGAGAAGAGGAAATATCTAGACACAGCATTGGTCATCTTCACAAAATTATCCCACATAGTTGTGAACAGTGGAAATGAATTTGGGCATATTCACAAATGTGCCATTTGTGGTATAGGTGAATAAAGAGAGGAAGAATGGCAGGTGAAGTAATGATAGTCAATGTGTATGTGTGAGTATAGAACGGAGTACATTGCAGACAAGGGTAAGATTGAAGGGATGGGGGAACCGATGAAAGGGATGCCCGGGCAGGAAAGTCGTGACACTCTTATCTTCAATAAAAACTACTAGAAAACCGGAAGTGGTGCTGTGGCTCAAGCGGTAGAGCGCTAGCCTTGAGCTGAAGAGCACAGGGACAGCGCCCAAGCCCAGAGCAGAGTTCAAGCCCCTCGACCGACCAAAAAAAAAAAAATGGAGACACCTTATTTACTTATCGTAAAGACTCAGTTGACCTTACTAGCCACCCAGTAGCTGCTCTTCAAAGAGCAGCTACGGTATCTGACTTGACTTTGTCCTATCTTTTGCCATTTCAGTTTCCTAACTGCTATACTCTCATGAACAATGCTGGTTATATTGAGTTTCCCTATATTACAAGTCTTCCCACTGAAAATTTTCATGTAAGTGTCATGAATAACATTCTGCCAAACAAGGAGTGATTGTAATCACCCACAAAGAGCAATCGGCAACAATTAAAGTATCTATGTATCTACACATATTTTTGTTTTCTTTTCTTTTCTAATTGTGATTTTTGATTGTCAAGGTGATGTACTGCAGGGTTACAGTTACATTAATAACTTGTCAAACTTCTTACCCCTTCCCTTATTTTTCTCCTCCTTACCACCTGCGCCTAAGTTATACAGATCATTTCCAACATATTATCTTAGGTATATTGCTGTTGCATTGCTTCCCCCTTTGTCATTTTTCTCACCATGTTTTATTTCAATTACTTTTTTATTATCCCATCCCTAATTTTAGAGAAATGGTACTCTTTGGTCAAGTTTTGTACTTCATTAAATTCCAATAATACTAATCATTAATATTCATTGAAAATATCAATAAATAATATTCTCTCACCTATAGTATAAAAGATATCCGTTTATGATTTAACATAAAGTATCTGTGCTGAATAGGACAGGAGATCCTAATGCTTACTCATTCTTGAAACTATGTATACACTATATGATAATTGGCCAAACATCACCCCACTTAGTTCTGAGAATGTCCAGCAAATCATTCCAAAGGTAAAGATTTGACATAAATGATAAATGGAATTTGGCCCTACTACAGTATCTAATGGTTAATGTGGCAAGCTAGATACCTCCCTCCGAACCTGAATTCTCTTTTTACCACAACATGGTTGACTTATCTTAACATGCAAATAGATTATCTACTAAATTAATCTTTAAAAAAATAAATTTCTTGCTCCTCTATAATTACAGATACTCATTTTGTCATTATGCAACTTAATTCTGTCAAGATAATCAATAATTATCTCTGCAAACTCAATACACTGTAGAGAGAAAATAGTTTCAGATATGACTCTGCTTGCTTTTCAAACACTTAAAGTTTTCTTGTATCTTTTTAACACTTAGGTGACTTTAAAAAATATGAGGATTACAGTAATCATGGTATAACATGGCATATCGAATCACATAGACATTTGTTTCATCTACTCCGGGGTACCAGGGAAGTTCAGTGAAGATGATTGGCTTGGCTAATTTGTTCTAAATGCAGAACTTGATCTGTAGATCAGCAAAATCAAATGAGAGGAAAGAAAACTTAGTCTCTACTGACTTGGACATGGGAGATCAATTACGGTAAGCTGAAAATTCCAAAAGCTTTATAAGTATATGCTTATAAAACAGAGGAAACTGTCTTCTGTCTTTCATAGAAGCTTGTATTTGTACACAGGAATGGTAAGGAAGATATTTTATCTACTCCATTCATTTGCAAGCAATTCAAGAAGGTTGGTGAAATGATGATTTTTGTTTTTCTGTTTTCAACATAAAGATAAAGACTAGTAGTGGGAACAATGAGCAATTTATATCACAACCCATTCTTTTGAATCTCTAGGAATTTTGGTAAGTAAGAAATTTCTAACATTAGAGTTCAGTTTTTGTTGTTGTTGTTGAAATTTGTGTTGATAAATGACATGAGATTTTTTTCCCCCCTATCAGATGATGTGATCACAGTCCATGCTGGACCTTGAAAAGAATTCTATGGATCATTGTCTGGGAATTGTGCCCTTATAAAGCAACTACCTCAAAGTACAAACTGGCTAACTTTGAACCAGGTGAGACCAAATGAAATTACAGAGCTAAGCTGGTCTACCCATTTGAAGGTTACACAAGTTCCCATCCTTGATGAATAAAGGAATTGAAATTCCATAACAAACTAGAAAATAAGTGTAAATAAGTTGGTTGGGAACCCACTAGAATTCCACCATAGTTTGTTGTTGAAGGCTGTGAACTTCACTGAAATACTAAATATCATTATATCTAATACTTGTCAATAATTAAGTTATCGATTAACAATGTCAACCAAAATGTTTTGAAGACCTGCTAAATGCTGATTGCAGAAAGAGTGAAAGGTCAGTTCTGTGTTTCCAGATGCCCCTAGGCATTGTACAGATTTTACAACATGTGACTCAGGTAAATAATGTGCTAAAGGCTTTGTAAAACTCATATATAATGCTCATTTAAAATTTTGATTAGCTTCTTAATTTTGTAAAAATCTTCCACTTTCTATACAAGATCTTGCCAATTAATGCCTTTTGTTAAAAACATTGTCAGCAAATTTTACCAGTAAATCTCATCAGAAATTCATCAGAAGAACTAACGTTAGTAAGCTTCATCTGGTGTATTAACTCAGACCTATCCCCAATAAAGAAAGCAATGGTCATGGATAGACATTGACTTTCAGCTCTGATCGTAGTGTTTCAGACTTGTCAGTTTTCTTTTCTAGGTGTACAGAAACCTAAAGTTTTCTAATATCCTCTATTAGTTCTTATAACTTGAGAAACTTCTACTTAGGAATGAAAATAGGTGTCAGTGGCCATCATCCAAACACCTTTATAGTTCTCTGGATTCTAGTCCAAGTGGAAATTAATCTAAATGAAGACCGGCTCTTCCTTCAACAAGATTCAGCAATGGAAGATGAAGAAACAGAAGACCCTTTGTGTGAAAAAGATTTGCTATTGGAAACGTACCACTTTCAAGACTACTGCGATCTTCTTCCTGATGATACTTGAATGAAATAAAGGATGTAAAGACAGACAGGACATCTTTTTTCAGTTGTGAAATATTCTCAGACATATAATGATACATACAGAGAACTTCTATTCTTTTCAATTTCACTAGAGAAAGAACAGTGGGCCAATTTCAAAGAACATAGCGCTTTATGGGGTAGAAAATTGAGTCCCAGTTATTCCCCTATTCTGGATAAGTAACCAACTGTCTTGGTCTGCCTCAGCCAAAGAAGCTATCAAGGATGTACAACCGATGTATAATCCAAGTATATCCTCATCTGGACTAAGTTCCTCCTCACTGGCATGCACCTTGTGCTTCAACACATAAACCTTAATCAAAAGCAACCTCAGATCAGGTCTTCCTGATGTCTTCTTTCACTAAACACCAAACTCTAGTCTGCTTTTCTTTCTACTCAAATGTACCTATACCCTGTCACTCATACACTCTTGTCATGGTTGCTTTCATTGTTGTTGTCCTCATAAATTTTCTCCTCATAGTGGGTAAAATATTCTTAACCTGCATCCAACCTCCATATAGAAGATAAAAGGTTGTTATAATCCCACTGCCATCTTATCCTCTAACCCCATTTCAGCATCCTATAAAAGGCAGTCATTCACTGTGTGTTTATTTTAAATTTTATGTACCATTCTATTATTTATTTGACTACACATTGTGGAAGCTCATTTATTTTAATGATCATTCATGCCACTCCACAGCAGTATTTCCAATTAAGAAAAGAAATATATTTAAAAGTAATTATTTCATCCTATTTATTAATTAGTTTATGTTTATATTTATGTTATATTTGTTTATATATGTCCAGTCATAAGTTTATTAATTTCTAATCTGTTGTAAGAAACAAAGGATGCCTTTGATCTATGTTCAATGTTATGCTGCCCCTTGCTTGTTCCTATCTATGTCTTTCACACTATCAGCAATTATTGATTAGGCAGCTGTAATAATACATTCACATTTGATAAACAGTCATGATTGAATTCATACTCACCACATTTATATGAAGTTCCAGATGATTTCTGTGTTTGCTATATTCACCACATACTTTAACTTTCCATTGTAATACTAGTTGTAGTGCTGTATATCTAAAATGGAAGTTAAAAGACAATATGAAAATTAGCATAAAGTATTTCCTTGCATGTAGGAAAGAGAAATGTATTTAACATGGTTTCCAACTAATGTAATTTCCATCAGGTGCATAAAATGTAAACAACATTAGGCAAAAGAGCATATTCAAATTTTGAAAAGCAGGGAGGCTGTTACAGGGCATAAAATATCTCGACTATTCAGACAGTCATTTGATGTGATAGGAAGACTTTCAAGAACAGATCAAAATTCCATGGAGGTGGAGAATATAGCTTATCTTCTGGAGTAGTAAGGGTAGGGAGGGCAGAACAGAAAAAAAGGTTGGAAAGAGTAAATTAAGATGACATTAAAAAGGTAAGCACACTACTCAATATTTCTGAGTAATTTTTGTGAGCTCCCATTTTGTGTATGTTGTGTTAAGTTGTGACATTGTGAAATGTGAGAATCCTTGAAGTTCTTAGGAAGTAAGTTTTGTTCATTAATTCTGGGTAAGGATTTTGGCCAGGAAGATGGATAGAATTCTTTAGCTAACATATTTCTGCTTACTGTGTGTGATTACCTTCACTAGGGCTAGAGGTGAAAAAGGTGGGGGAGAGTAGTTTTGGAGAAGGGAGGGAAGGGATGGGAAGGGGAAACAAAGGAGGAGGCAACAATGCATGATAAGAAATGTACTCATTACCTTGCCCATGTAACTGTAACCCCTCTGTACAGTATTTTCACAATGAAAAACTTATTTTAAAAAGAATTATTCAGTTCTAATGTAAAATCAATTCAACCTAAGCTACAGTACTGATAGAGAAATATTTCGTTCTACAGAATCTCATAAGAGATTTGCTCTTTTGGTTTTTCTGATCAGGTTCATGCAAATTTGTGGTGACTGCTTTCATCTTTTAGGGAATATAAGGAAAACATTTCAATGGAGAAATGGAATCACACTTCAAGTGGCTTCATTCTGTTGGGGTTGTTGCCAACAAACCAAATAGGGCTCCTTCTCTTGTTCCTCATCATCCTTCTGTTCTCTTTTACTTTGTTTGGTAACTCAGGAATGATTTACCTCATATGTATGGATCCCCGGCTCCACACCCCCATGTACTTTCTCCTCAGCCAGCTTTCCCTCATGGACTTAATGTCTATCTCAACCATTGTCCCCAAGATGGCATTCAACTTCCTCTCTGGCCAAAAGAGCATCTCCTTCCTTGGATGTGGGGTGCAAAGCTTCCTCTTTGTGACTATGGCAACTGCAGAAGCTTTACTGCTGTTATCCATGGCCTATGATCGCCTGGTGGCCATCTGCCACCCCCTCCACTATCCCATCCGCATGAGTAAAAGGATGTGTTGGAAGATGATCATGGGATCGTGGATACTGGGCTCTCTCCACTCCTTGGCACACACAGCATATGCCCTTCATCTTCCTTACTGCAGATCTAGAGCCATCAACCATTTCCTCTGTGACATTGCAGTAATGGTACCTCTGGCCTGTATGGATACATGGATTTATGAATATATGATTTTTATGAGTACTTGCCTGTTCCTCCTCTTTCCTTTCCTTGGTATCACTGCTTCCTATGGACGTGTGCTTTATACAGTCTTTCATATGCGCTCACAAGAGGGAAGGAAAAAGGCCTACACCACATGTTCGACACATTTAACTGTGGTAACATTTTACTATGCACCTTTTTTCTTCACTTATTTTCAGCCTTCTCATCTTCGCTCTGCTACTGGGGATAAGATTCTGGCTGTGTTCTATACCATTCTCACCCCTATGCTCAACCCCATCATCTACAGCCTGAGGAATAAAGAAGTCCTGAGGGCTATCTCAAGAGTTCTTGGCATGTTCACTTCTATCAGAAAATAATAGTTCAATCTCATACTTTTTGTTCTTTTTATATTCTTTTTATTTGGAAAGACTCAGGAGTTGAAATCAGTGTCTTACACTGTCTATGATAATACAATATGGCTGAGTAATAAATACAGCCGTGCTTTTCAACTTTGTTCATGCTTTTTTAACTTTATTGTCTGGCTTCCTGTGTAACAATATACTTGAGCCATGAGATGACTATCACAGACATTCTACTGTTATTTTCTCTTGAATCTCAGGCAAGCTCTACTACATCAAGGTTCACAGTGTGTTATAGGACTATTTGGTAGGGCGAACCTGAATTTATGAACCGCTTTAATCTACCGCTCATGTAGCTTGGGATGAGAAATGCACAACACTGTGCTGAACTGGCCAAAAAACTCATCTTAAAAGATTTCTTTCCACCCAAGTAGATAGGATGAGCTACAGGACTATGCAGGTGAGCCACCAGTACCCACTTGCTACAGCTATTTATTGCCCATATGTGCGTTGAACAGGGCATTTTATAACAACACTAGTGAAAATGTACTGTGAGCAACATATCTATCTATTTATCTAGCTAGCTAGCTAGCTATCTGTATGTTTTTAAGTGTCAACTCTTTCCTGTCTTTTTCCGATTCTCCCTCATGCCCTCCCCCTGCAACAAGTTGTATAGTTCATTTTCAATATAGTTTCTTGTGAGTATCACCGCCACATTTGTTCACTACATACAAGACAAAAGTTTAGTGGGGCGCTGGTGGCTCATGGCTGTAATCCTAGCTACTCAGGAGGCTGATATCTGAGGATCACGGTTCAAAGATAACCCAGGCAGGTAAGTCCATGAGACTCTTATCTCCAATTAGCCATAAGAGAACCAAAGTAGTGCTGTAGCTGAAGAGGTAAAGCACTAGCCTTGAGCTGAAGAGCTGAGGGACAGTGCCCAGGCCCAGAGTTCAAGTCCCATGAATAAAATAAAGAAAGAAAGAAAGAAACAGAAAAAGAAAGAAAGAAAAGGAAAGAAAGAAAAGGACAAAAGGTGAAGAAATAATAATTGTGGCAAAGGAGAAAAAAAAGCAAAATAACAAAAAGGCTATTGTTTCCATTTCTTGGGGTTCATTTTGATAAACATCATTTATATGACCATGTGCACATAGCCACTGAGCCTTTGTGGTCCTCTGCTAAGAATATCCTCTTTTGTATTCACTTTGGGAATGTTTAATGTCCCATATAATTTACAATGTATGAGTATAATTTTGTCTTAAACTATTCAGTGTCTTTACTTAGGGATTTATAAGCACATTTAGTCATAACAAATGAGGGAAACCACGAAATGAATGTTTCTTTGGGTTTGGCTTACTCTGCTTAATATAATTTTTTAAAAGTCTTTCTATTTCCATACAAATGGTGCAATATCATTCTTTCTTTTCAAAAACTTTAGAAAGCAGTATGTGGAGGTTCCTGAAAAGTTTAAATATAGAGCTTCTCCATCACCCAAGAATTCCAATCCTGGGCATTTATCCAAAAGACTACAAAAAAAGGCCACATTAAAGCTAGTAGCACATCCAGGTTCACTGCGGCATTGTTTACCATATGGAATTAATGAATATTAATCCAGATGGCCCTCAGTGAATGAATAAATCAAGAAAATGTGATACATATATACACAATGTAATTCTAGTAACATATTTTAAATTTAAGTACTTTGTGAAATGACAAGTTCTTTATTTCTTGTGTATACCAATGGTATTAACACATCTATTTAATTCCAATCATTATAATTAATATAACATGAATTATATTTATGCTTGCTTATATATCATGAATTATATATTAGATAGTGTTTCTGTACACCAAAATATACATGGACGATCACTTCAACAAATGCAGAAAAACTAGATATCCAAATATAGAAAGCTAAAATTAGAAGTTCCATGTCCAGAAAATTAAAAACAGATAAAATATCCTAATGCAGCACTGGGAAAGTTAAAATTTCTAGAAGAAAATATATTTTAAAACTTATGGTGTAGTAAGATATAGATGGTATAAAATTAGAACTCAGTTTTT